CCCCATGCTACAGCAGCTGCTACAATGGGGTAGATCTCCCAAAGGGGCTGAAGTGGTGGAAAAATTTCCAAACCTGGATGCCATGGCCAACAGCCCCAAAGCAATTGTTCCCGGTAGATCGCTGCCAAACCCGTGGTTTACGCTGCGTCTGACCATCTGGTTGGAGAAGTGTCAGACAATCCTGGAAGGAACATGCTTTTACCATGCCAAGTGGTTAAGAAATCCCCCCATGTGCAGGTCTGCTGTTGCTGAGGTGTCTAGGCACCTCCTCTGATCGTCATGTTGGAAGTGTGGAAAAAAGGGGAAAGTACTCTGGATGTGAAAGCGTGGTCTTGTGGTATGATTGGCATGGCAAAATTAAGGAACCTGGTAGGGATCATAGTTCCTTGCAGTTGTAAGTACTAAGCAGGAGGTAGTAATTGATGTAGTTGAGAATGTTCCCTATTTGTCTTGTGGTAACTTGCGTGTATGGATGCCGACTCAAGTCATATGCCCAGTAATGTGAAGATAGTGTCTGGGCCTTCTGTTTCTTATGGGGTACTGGGACGCCCAAGTGGTCAACCAGACTAAGCTGCCGTGAGGCTTCTAGTGAAAAATATGCTTTCTTTGATTAACAAGAAGTCTTCTAGATAGTGTATGACTGTAAGGCCTCTGGATATGTTATCATAACCAGCACAGAGTATCTGCGAATATCGATAGTAGGCTAATCTGTAGCTCGAAAGTTGAGCGGGGAAAGGATTGCCCAATTTATGCCATGTAAGTGCCAGTGTGTAGGGTAGATGGTAGCCGTTTACTGCGTTGATGATATTGGTCTTACTTAATCAAGCTTCAACCCATGCTTGAGTGATAGCTGTAAAGGTAGATCAATGGTGTTGTATAGTAAGAAAAATCCTCGGAGGGTATGAGGGAGTTGAGACTTGGGGTAGCGGAGGTGTGTGTTACCAATAAGTCCATGGTTAGTCTTTGTTTAAGGGAAGATTCCTTGTGACAATACCAATGTGTGTGTTTGGTGCCATGCTGTAAATGGTGGAGATTGGAAGACCCCTCTGCAAATCTTGGCTATGAGTGTGTTTACAGCCAATGGTTTTGTTGTGCTGACTGTAAGTGAGGGCATGCTATATTCCTTGAAGGTGTGTTTATGATACCTGTATGGGAGCCCTTTGAAGCTCCAGAGCTTTAGTAAATCTACTACAAGTCTGGAAGGGTGATGAGTCAGTAGTGTTGAAAATGCATTTGTGTGTACAGATGGTGAATACGTTATTTGTAAGTTGTATTGGGACACATGGTTTGTCATGTGCCCTGAACTATTGAACATATATGCAACAGTCTGTATGCAATGCAACTACTCATATCAGTGGTCTCTGGTAGTTCAGAGGTGCTGGTACCTGGAGCCTGAGAGTGCTCGTCCATTTGTTTGGGACAAAATCCCTTCTGTATGGGTACCTGCACAAATAAACATCTCCACATATTCCAAATGCCAACCCAACCAAGGGATGGTCAGTTCCCGATTTACCTGGAATCCCTGGATCTGACCATCACAGATACATCATCATACATATATATGCCTTGCTTCCCCAATGTGCTGGGATTATACGTGCAGGTTTAACATCTTGTGTGTCATAAGAATTGATTGTACCAGGTAACCAAGTTTCGGTTGGTGCTGGTTGTACAGTAGCGTGAAGCCCAGCCTTGTGAGGGCTGTGGTGACCAACTCGAGATTGCCAGTCTGTCATAAATTTTTTGGCTCATGAGTTTATGAGTGAAGCTAGCATAGCCTGGGTGTCACCTGAGTTGATGTAGCTGGGCCTTCCCCTGCCTCCGTGTTGTCCGTTGATGTATGGAGGAGTTTGAATAACTGCTTTCCTTGCTGTAGCAGGGTAGGGGATTTGTCACCTCCTTAGGTCGGTGGTAATGTGTGGGATCGTCCAGGATCTGATTGCTGCTGGACTAGCAACATCTCCTCTGCTTGAAGGTGTATCAATTCTAGCAAGGGGTGCTAGGAAGAGGTGATTCTTCACCATCTTTTTGAGAAATACTTAAATAACAATAAAGATTGCAATTATTATTTGTACCCAGGGTTCTTGTACTGGCTTGCTAGCTAAGCCGTAAGGCGAAACGATTAGACTTGGTGTTTTTTGGTGACTGGTGAGGCCCTGCTAGTTGCCAAGTGGCTTGAGAGGCTCTATCTATGCTTGGCGCGAGGGGATTTTGTGTGGCCACCGAACGTTGTGGCAGGATGTTGGCCTCTCGGTGACAGTAACCAGAAAATAGGAAGGGGAGTGACAGGTGAGGTCCTCTCTATGATACAATGCGAGGCGACTAGCTCACGAGTGGCCCGAGGGGTGTATGCCTCCGAGTGTGAGGCGGGGTGTTGGCCTCGCGGGACCACTAACCGAAGCATAATGCAGAGAAAAAAGGGGGTAATACCTATTGGGCCCTAGAACCCTAATTGCCAGTACACTATTACTATTCCAGGGAAGGTAAGAGATGGATAACTACGTGAGCAGGTGTATGTACCTGGTAGTATGGTATTGAACCTGACAATCCGTATAGGTTTTTTAGTAGTAACTGTAACCTGAATGGATAAAACCGTATGGCATAAGGAAATATGGCATAGACCAAGCTTATCTTAATACGTACAGTATATGTGAAAAGTAAAGTGCCATGATGTGTAAATATTAAACATCGTAGCCATACTGGTTAAATATGTATCAATCTTAACCCATTAAGTGCCGTATGTACAAGTGAAAATGTGGTCTGTCCCCACCTTGTATGTTGTATGTCCCCTTGCTAGGGGAAGTCTGTTGCGGGAGCAGCGTGCTGTGAAAAATGTATGTGAACTATATTACCAGTTACATATATACAGATGTGTCTGCTACTGTGTAATAATATATGTATTTATACCAGATGTTGACATAGTGCTTGCTATGTGAATTGTTGTATGTCTTATTGAATGGTAGGGGTCAGTGAACATGGTGTTGCAAAATGCAAGTGCACTGGAGATCTGCCGAGTGCCCTATAGGTGGCAGTGTAGTTGGATACTGATTGGTATGTGAAATGTTGTTTGTCTGTTGACCTATAGCTGTCAGTGTTTTGGTGTTTGTAAAACCCCATGAAAATTGTCAATGTACTTGACAGACCTGTAGGTGGCAGTGTTGATAGAACCACTGTTGGTCTTGATGTGAAATGTAAATTATTGTGAATTAAACCTGAAGTTGAGCCCGTGCTGGAGTTTAATTTATGGTCTATAGTTATGTTTAAAACAATCTTATGTGTAATTTATATTGGCTGGTAAATTGTATATGACATGTGAAGACAGTTTTGCTGTTGACCAGTAGGGGTCAGAAATGCTGATTGTATGTTAAAATACCCTTTAACCCCTTAAGGACCAAACTTCTGGAATAAAAGGGGATCATTACACGTCACACATGTCATGTGTCCTTAAGGGGTTAATGCTACCATTTGACAGATAGGAGTCAGTATAAAAGCGAAAATGCTGTAGTTCGTTTGTTTGCTTATGAAGTGGAATAAAATCTGAGAAGCCTGTAATATACTGATTGACCGGTAGGGGTCAGCATGTAGGCAAAAATGCCGTGGTTAGTTGGTTTATACATGAAATGCAATAATGTCTGAGAAGCCTGTAGTACACTGAATGACCTGTAGGGGTCAGTGTGTAGGCGCAAATGCAGTGGTTCGTTGGTTTGTACATGAAACGCAATAATGTCTGAGAAGCCTGTAGTACACTGAATGACTGGTAAGGGTCAGTGTGTAGGTGAAAATGCAGTGGTTTATGGTTTTGTACATGAAAAGCAAAAACGTCTAAGAAGCCTGTAGTACACCGAATGACTGATAGGGGTCAGTGTGTAGGTGAAAATTGCAGTGGTTTGTTGGTTTATACATAAAATGCAATAATGTCTGAGAAGCCTGTAGTACACCCAAAGACCGGTAGGGGTCAGTGTGTAGGTGCAAATGCAGTGATTCGTTTATTTGTACATGAAATGCGATAATGTCTAAGAAGCCTGTAGTACACCAAAAACCGGTAGGGGTCAGTGTGTAGGTGAAAATGAGGTGGTTTATTGGTTTGTACATGAAAATGCAAAAAACGTCTAAGATGCCTGTAGTACACCGAATGACCGATAGGGGTCAGTGTGTAGGTGAAAATGCGGTGTTTGGTTGGTTTTTACATGAAATGCCATAATGTCTGAGAAGCCGGTAGTACACCGAATGACCGGTAGGGGTCAGTGTGTAGGCGAAAATGCAGTGGTTCGTTGGTTTGTACATGAAATGCAATAATGTCTAAGAAGCCTGTAGTACACCCAAAGACCGGTAGGGGTCAGTGTGTAGGCGAAAATGCAGTGGTTCGTTGGTTTGTACATGAAATGCAATAATGTCTAAGAAGCCTGTAGTACACCCAAAGACCGGTAGGGGGTTTAAACGAATGATATGCATGAACATGCAATGGTTTTAGAACAGACATAGACAAAATGCAGCCGTAAAGTGAGGACCTGACCCGTGCATGGTGCCGTGGGACTGATGCCTGGCGTAACGGGTAGGTCCACTTACTGTTTGTGAGTCACTTGGACACCATCCACGGCGATGGATTGAAGAAAGAAGGTGGTAGGCCGGAAAAGCCTGTGGCTGGATTCCTGACACAGCTCTGCTTAGAAAACCTCATGGAGTAATCAGGTAAAATGGCGTCTGGATGACTCGGAAGTGGAAATCATTCTGATGCTGACCTCAAGCGATATAAGTCAGGTAAGGGGTGTCCCTTATATAGGGGAGTGAATTAATTTAAGCCCCTCCCACAAATACAGGCAAAACTGCCTTAATACATATATAAATTAATCACTGAATTATCTATAAACAAATATAAAAGAATTACAGAGGTACTGCTGCGGAGCAAAATATAGGTTTTGCTCAGTTCACAGGGCTCAGGTAGTGTTTGCACCAAAGGAATCGGTATCCATGCCCCAGGTAAAAGACCAGGGTAAGTCCACAAATGTGTTTTAGGTTTTTTTAATATTGAAATATAAAATTATTTAAAAACTTTATTAGAAATAAAATACAACAGTATAAGATACACAATAAATAAAAAACAGACGCATTTCACCTTCAACAAGCCTTTCTCAAAACGTCATGTCATTATCCATGACGGGGCCCCCCCCCCCGTGGACGTCATTCTCCATGACGGGCCCCCCCCGTGGACGTCATTCTTCATGACGGGCCCCCCCGTGGACGTCATTCTCATGGACGGAACTTGCTATGTATTTTTTTTTTTTTAAAGAGAAAAGTCAGGCTCCATTGTTTTTCTCCCAAGCAAACTAATGTTATAAAACAGGACCTCATCCCCAAGACTGTAGGTTAAACTCTCGTGTTTCTTCTGCACTTTCTTCGCATAGATCATCTTCTACTTTTACTGCGACAATGCTTTCCAATGTTACTTCATTTATCGTCTCCATTGAGGATTTCCTTTCCACCAAGAACGTAGCATAACTATGCTCCTCCGGTAGAGTGATAGTTGAAAGCTTTAAAAAAAAAATAAAAAAAAATATAAATAAATAGTAACCATAAATTAGGATTGAAATTTTGTCAAGATAATTGGAACTCCAGGGAAAAAGATCAGGGTAAGCCCAGGAATGAGATATATATAGTTAATGCAATGTTAAACACAAATACACACACCAGGCAAGCCATATGACTTGCTTTTACCACAGAAATCTCACTTTAACAGTGCTCTCACTACTGAAAAGGATTCTGGGTAGGCGTATGCAAATGAACTCAACAAAGAACCAAATTTTTGCCTCAATTCCACTTTATAAATGGATTCCTTGGAGTATATGTCTGCTAACAATTAATGCAAAGCCTGTATAGCAAGCCAGTAACCTATCTCATGCTGATGAGTTGAAATAACGAAACAGCTGTCCAAGAGTGGTTCACTGGCACTGCACCTCTTCCTGAGTTGTGCTTCAAAGCTGTTGTATGCATCAGACACAAACTCCAAGGAATCCATGTGTAAGGTAGAATTATGAGACCCCCCAATATGTTAATCTGTTTATGGCAGATCTTGAACAGTGATTCCTAGAAATACTGCACACCAAACCATACAAATATTATTGCTATATCGATATCTTCATAATTTGGACTGAAAGCAAAGAAAAACTGATGACTTTTAACACATTCCATCCAAACTAAAAATGGAATATTCCACTAGATCTGTGAATTTTCTGGACACCACTGTGACAGCCACACCTCGTTTTACAGAAAACCCAGAGTCAGATGCAGTTACCTTCACAGCTCCAGCGTCCACCCCTCCCATACTAAACAGGGCATCACCTACAGCCAAACCACTAGGTACCATTGCATATGCTCTGATCTTAATGACCGTAATTCCTATCTAAAGGTACCCTTCCAATCTATGAGATTGGTTTGTAGCCTAAGACTATTACCAAACAAACCAACCCTACTGTAAAAACTCCACGCACGCACCTGCTACAGTACAGAGAGAAAAATAAATATCTACACTTGTGGTCACCTACAACCCAGCTCTTTAGAAAATAAATCATCAGAGACCTACAACCAATGTTAACAGAAGATGAGACTATGAAAAACATTTTCTCCGAAACACCCATTTTGGCCTTCAGACAACCACCAAACCGCCAACAAAAATTAATTAACAGGTAGCGGTTCACTGATGGGAAGAATAAAGAAAATGGGACCAGTCAATGTAAAAAACCTCGCTGCAAACTGTGTCAGCACATATGCACAGACAACACAGCCACACACAACAATAAAACTTACAGCATTAAAGGTTCATACTCCTGCACATCCAGCAATGTGGTCTACATGATGCAATGCACCAAATGCCACCTAGAATGCTACATTGGGGAAACCACCCAGCAATTCAATGGCAGAATGAATATGCACATACACTAATAAAAACTTGAATTCCCTTTTAAAGGGCTGCCAATCCTCTAACATCTTACCGTTGATGGTCTGGTGAGTCAGAGCATTACTTCCGGTCAGACAGCCATCTTGTTTCTCTTACCTGCTTTCCTTGTGGTCCTGGCTCCTGTTCTACGCTTACCAAACAGTTCGTAAACCCACGGCCTCCTTCCGGCTTCTCGGCACGGCTAGTGGTTCTAAACCGTAAGTCAAGATCCTTACCGTAAGGCGGTTGCAATCGTTACACGCCATCGCGGTAGGGGTCGGTTCGGCACAATTTTCGGTTGATTTAATAACAGCTTTAATATATATGTCTTTCATAATTTAAATGCACGAACGCAGCCATTCGTTTCTTTGTTCACTACACTGTACATTTGTTTCATTAAGCCATTTTCATACGAATTTGTTTCAAGTTGGCTAAACATACGAATGATTAGGTTTAAACAGGTATTCTATACAGGGCATTCCTCCCAGTTCGGCAGTATGTTGCTGGCATGAGACTGTTCACAAATTTTAGCCGATTGGCCTGGTTGTCAGATGCCCCTATTGGTTAGTAAGGATACTACAGTTACAATTTTATACTTATGAGTTGGGGCTATTTCAATACGATGATATAGACAGGTTTGATATATACATATACAAAAAAACAAGTCCCGCGCTCAAACTCCCATAACTCCTGGGCAACGACCATAGTAGACATCAGCTCAAATACATACAGTAAAAACCAAAGGAAAAAGTTACCTGCACCTTTTCCAAAATCCCTATGTATATTTAAACAAATGGAGGTTTTTAGTTACCACCAATGGCCATGAGAGGGTATGCCCACCTGCCACGTCAAGACCACTTAGGTGGGTCCTAACTAACGATTTACCTTGCTTCCTTGAGCGTTTGGCAAAGATATATCTAATGAGACAAAAAGGGATGTTTTTTATATAACACTTTGAACATAAATACTGCACTCAATGCATTTATTATGCGCACTAAGAACAATTCATAAATAAGTATGCGAAAATGTATTTATTGTTCACTGACTCAGTATAATTAATTGGAGGAAAAGGCTACTAAAGGCAATTGGTGATCCTATCTTAAATTCATATATCATACACATAGAAAGAATTCATAATATATACAGATCCTATTTACAACCACTAGCGATCCCTTCATGAATTCATATATTATACACAAAGTACAAGTTCATGATATATACTAATGCTATTTACAACTAATTACAGTCCTGACTGTAGTAATATAGAGGGTATTCCCTGATTGTAGAGGGGATAAATCATTGGAGCAGTAGAGAAGAGAGTCCTCCTGTGTCTGTTCGTGATGCAGTAAAGTCCTCCTATTAGGTGAATCAGCTGATCGGCAGCAAACAATCGTGAGATAAGTCAGCTGATCGGCAGCTAACGGGTTGCGCGCTCGGGACGTCTATGTCCCTTGGAAGGCCCCTGCAATTTGACAGACGAGAAGGCTGAATTTAAATATCCCTAATTCCGCCTTGTCGTGGTGACGTCAGCATGCGTCACATGTGATTGAAAAAACTTTATTGTTCATACCATACAGGACAATTGACAGTGAGGAACCACACTTTGTAAGGATAACGTAGAACATCGCACCATTTGGTACAAGATTTTAAATAAGTGCTCAGTAGATCTTATGGTATTAACCACTGAGTCCCTACAAAAAGAATTGGTCAAATTAATTAAGTAAATAGCAACAGTGGAACAGGAGTTGGCAGCTGTGACAGCTCAAAGTGACTTAGAAACTCTTAAAACTCAGATTGAAGAAAAGTTGAAAGAATACCAGAGGGAGACAGAAGAGTTCAAAAAGAAAAAAATTTCATAGACACGAGTTGGACTATCAGAGAGATCAGGTCTATACCTGGTACTCCAGGACAGACAACAGACAGAATAGAGACATACAAACACAAAGATGGCGTTCAGACACGGAAGGAGTTACATCCTCCTCCTCTGCCTCCTCATTAACGGGGACCACTTTTTTAAAAATACGAAGAATCATCAGGAGGGGGGGTCACAACAAGAGGTACACAGGAGAGAAAGGAAGGCAAACCTCCCCTATCCAGACCGGATCCCGAATACACAATATCTCAGGTAGGTAATTAACTACACAAGAGGAAGAGACTCTGAACAAGGGACTCTCCTTCATCCCTACCCCTAATGTGGAATGACATCAATACGATATGAGATGTACAATTTTTTTCTCCAATTGAAATTACGTGCATTTTTTTCTACAGATCAACATAACCTTGGCACAGCAGCTGACCCCAAGTAATAGGAACACTCAGTTAATACAGACAGACCATCATCAAGAGGAAGAGAACATAGAAGGTGTGGTGTCCAATGCCTCTCAGATTGATCCGCATTTGGTCCATGATCTGCAGGTTTGAACCCCCCTCCCCCGAAACATTAATGCATCCATAGATATATTTACAAATTTAGTGAAAAGAGATGTCTATAAACTTAGAAAGAAACACCAACAGACACATAGAAGTAATAGAGAAACTGTTAACTTCACTAAACAAGATTGGTCTACCATTAATAACTTGAAGGGAGATACATCTATTATAATTAAACCAGCGGATAAGGGGGGTGCGCTAGTTATTATGGGCCTCACTTATTACATAAAGGAAATTGAAACATAATTAAGGGATGATTTACATGAATCATATGGAAGAGATGTACATCTACCAACATCCTCTATTTACCAAATGTTTAGTTTGGAAACGGTATATAGACAACATGTTCGTATGTTGGGGCGGCACTAGGGCCCAGCTACAGGAGTTCCATGATTCACTGAATACACAAGATCCCGATATCAAGTTTACCATGTATTGTGACATGGTAACGGTCCCTTTTTTTAGATGTCCAAGTACAAAGAGTACATGACCGACTCCATAGTGACCTATACATAAAACCTACTGACCGTAACAACTTACTGACGTATGCCAGCTTTCATCCGATCCACCTTAAGAATGGCTTACCCTATAGCCAATTGTTAAGGATGAAAAGGATTGTATCACAAGAAGAAAAGGTAATCTAACAGGATTAGACTTTATGGCACAAAAATTTATGGAAAGGGATTATCCAACACATAGTTCTTAATCAGGGACAAAAAGTTTAAAATTTCACTCGTCAGGAAACTCTTTTTGGGTCGAGAACAGTCAATAAAACAGAGAGGATAGCCTTTGTATCACCACATACTTTTTGAGGGTGACTTTCAATTACCCCCGGTATTTCAAAACCCACTTTTTTCGTATCAAAGGGCTCCTAGTTTTAAGGATATCTTAGTTTAGTCAGACATTGGCAGCTCGAAGAAACATACTAGGTTATTTTCTGAACCGAAGAAAGGCAACATAGAAACATAGAATGTGACGGCAGATAAGAACCATTCGGCCCATCTAGTCTGCCCAATACATTTACATGCCACTGCAGCAGTGTGATCAAGGGGGAGTATCTTGTTCACCCTCGGTCTGGTAAGAAATTTTTCGTCAAGGATTACTATACGTGTAACCCTGACTTCGTCATATATATCTTAAAGTGTCCTTGTGGGTATGTATACGTGGGGGAGACCATCTGGCCGGTAAAAGAGTGAAAAGGAGAGCATAAAAGGAGTATTAGGGCAGCCTTACAACGAGGCATTATTGAATCTCTGGTGCCTAGACATTTCAGATCTCATGGCCATAGTGTGAACCAGTTAAGGTTTCAGGTCATAGACTGAGTTCCACCCATACGGAGGGGCGGGGACAGACAAACTTCTACTGCAAAAGGAAACCAAATGGATCAGTATCCTAGAGACTGTCACCCTCTGGGCTGAACGAAGATTATGATCTAAAGCACTTTTTAGAATTTCTTTTTTCAGTTTAATAGTACTAGCATTGATTAATCTCTATCTATATTTATACCTTGGGCTCCTTACAGTGACTCCATTAGACCAGGAATGGCCTGATCCTCTTTTCCGCCTACACTTTGACCCACATGGGTCCGCTACCTGGCATCTGTTACGGGTCCTTCATGTTGAAAACCCTGGGATAGTTTGGGTGACTACACGACGGGTATATGTAATAGGGAAAGAGATCAAGATAGGATCAGCGCTAGTAATACCACTAGGAAAGTATATAATAGTGTAAAGGCAGCACACCTAAAAGGGGAAATACCCTTCTATCCCCTGAAATAAATTAGAACATAAACAAGAAATAAAGGGCGCGCCTATTTGTATTTGTTGTATTGTATTTCTTGTTTTTTATGTTTTTTATATGTAATAGGACCTCTAGAATTTTTTGAGCTTGTTTGCGTTTTGGCATTTACCACTTTTTTCATTTTATGTTTACAGCTGGTTATTCGACTAGCTTTTACACAAATATATTTTCTCAGATGGTTCCTTTTGATTCTCCCTTTGATCATCGGCTGCAGGTGAGCAACAAGTGTTGCCTCCTCTGTTTGAGGTATATATTTGCATTTAGATAACTGTTACCCACTATAGTTATGGTCTTAATCTGTTTCTTATACACAGCTAGAGGTAGGACCATCTGTCCATTTATTCAAATAGATGTGTTAGTCTTTATTAAATATTTAATTTCTGCCCCTGATATAACTTCTGTCTTGAACTTATTATGTTATAGGACTTTTGTCTCCGAGATATCTTTGCCAGAAGCTCAAGGAAGCAAGGTAAATGGTTAGAGTTAAGACCCACCTACGTGGTCTGCCTTCACGTGGCAGGTGGGCATACCCTCCCATGGCCATTGGAGGTAACTAAAAACATCCATTTGTTTAAATATACAGGGAGTGCAGAATTATTAGGCAAGTTTTATTTTTGAGGATTAATTTTATTATTGAACAACAACCATGTTCTCAATGAACCCAAAAAACTCATTAATATCAAAGCTGAATATTTTTGGAAGTAGTTTTTAGTTTGTTTTTAGTTTTAGCTATGTTAGGGGGATATCTGTGTGTGCAGGTGACTATTACTGTGCATAATTATTAGGCAACTTAACAAAAAACAAATATATACCCATTTCAATTATTTATTATTACCAGTGAAACCAATATAACATCTCAACATTCACAAATATACATTTCTGACATTCAAAAACAAAACAAAAACAAATCAGTGACCAATATAGCCACCTTTCTTTGCAAGGACACTCAAAAGCCTGCCATCCATGGATTCTGTCAGTGTTTTGATCTGTTCACCATCAACATTGCGTGCAGCAGCAACCACAGCCTCCCAGACACTGTTCAGAGAGGTGTACTGTTTTCCCTCCTTGTAAATCTCACATTTGATGATGGACCACAGGTTCTCAATGGGGTTCAGATCAGGTGAACAAGGAGGCCATGTCATTAGATTTTCTTCTTTTATACCCTTTCTTGCCAGCCACGCTGTGGAGTACTTGGACGCGTGTGATGGAGCATTGTCCTGCATGAAAATCATGTTTTTCTTGAAGGATGCAGACTTCTTCCTGTACAACTGCTTGAAGAAGGTGTCTTCCAGGAACTGGCAGTAGGACTGGGAGTTGAGCTTGACTCCATCCTCAACCCGAAAAGGCCCCACAAGCTCATCTTTGATGATACCAGCCCAAACCAGTACTCCACCTCCACCTTGCTGGCGTCTGAGTCGGACTGGAGCTCTCTGCCCTTTACCAATCCAGCCACGGGCCCATCCATCTGGCCCATCAAGACTCACTCTCATTTCATCAGTCCATAAAACCTTAGAAAAATCAGTCTTGAGATATTTCTTGGCCCAGTCTTGACGTTTCAGCTTGTGTGTCTTGTTCAGTGGTGGTCGTCTTTCAGCCTTTCTTACCTTGGCCATGTCTCTGAGTATTGCACACCTTGTGCTTTTGGGCACTCCAGTGATGTTGCAGCTCTGAAATATGGCCAAACTGGTGGCAAGTGGCATCGTGGCAGCTGCACGCTTGACTTTTCTCAGTTCATGGGCAGTTATTTTGCGCCTTGGTTTTTCCACACGCTTCTTGCGACCCTGTTGACTATTTTGAATGAAACGCTTGATTGTTCGATGATCACGCTTCAGAAGCTTTGCAATTTTAAGAGTGCTGCATCCCTCTGCAAGATATCTCACTATTTTTGACTTTTCTGAGCCTGTCAAGTCCTTCTTTTGACCCATTTTGCCAAAGGAAAGGAAGTTGCCTAATAATTATGCACACCTGATATAGGGTGTTGATGTCATTAGACCACACCCCTTCTCATTACAGAGATGCACATCACCTAATATGCTTAATTGGTAGTAGGCTTTCGAGCCTATACAGCTTGGAGTAAGACAACATGCATAAAGAGGATGATGTGGTCAAAATACTCATTTGCCTAATAATTCTGCACTCCCTGTACATGGGGATTTGGGAAAGAGTGCAGGTAACTTTTTTCTTTGGTTTTTACTTGATATATACATAACTGACTTGTCTGGATGTCATTCCCACAGGTTTCATTACGGGAATTAAACTTTGATTGCGGATTTGCAAACAATTTTGATTTGTGACAACTTTGTCAAAAATATTTGCCTTATTAGGTTAGTAATTTGGTTTAAAGTTACTATTGTAGGTTTTGCTAGTATAAGAGTTATTTAGTAGGCATTTAACTTCTCGCTTTCCTTAGGTGCCCTGATCATACAGACTGTTGCTTTACAAGCACGACAAACTCATCATCTGCCTCTGTCATATTGTTACTCATCAATAGTATCTGGTAGGTTCCTTTATTTTTATTCGGGCCCATTAACAGATCTATACGCACAGCTACTCATTCATATCCTATCTATAGGTCGCAGCACGTTATCTACTGCCACCCTCTCATTCATATTTACTGCATAGCATCTCGTCCTGACTCAAACGTTATCAGGTACGACGTCATAACCCTGTAGCTTTCTAGTTTTAAAGTGGTACTGGCTTTTTGACATTTAGCTTGTCCAACTAGGTTCAGTTTCCGGTCTAAATCCATATGTTAGTGGTCCCGCGAGGCCAACACCCATCCTCATACTCTGAAGTATTCGTCCTTCTGCCCAAATCATAGTTAGCCGCCTTGCATGGTCGCATAGAGAGGGCCTTCCATGTCACTCCCATTCTATCTTATGCTTTAGTTACCATCGAGAGGCCAACACCCTGCCACAACGTTTCGGTGGCCTCAATCTCCCCTCGGGCCAACGCATAGATAGCGCCTCTCACACTGCTTGGCAATTAGAAGGGACTCATCTATCACGTTTCAAATAGTAATTTTTTCGCTGCTTGGCATCTAGCTAGCCTGCCAGTACCCGGCTGCTTTGTCCCAGAATAATAATCAAGTTGCATCTATATATTTTCAGTTATGTTTTAAGTTCCTGAGTAGCAGTCCCTTCCGAGCACTCCCGCTAGGTCCAGTACTCCCGCCCAAGGAGCTGATGTCACTAGTCCAGCTTCCTGAGGTCAGCTGAACTACGAAGGAGATGCATTTCTTTCCCAGCTACTGCTAGGAAAGCAGAGTTGTTTAGATGTTTGAGCACCAACACCAACAACTCTGATGCTGGGGAAGGTCCTAGTGGGTCTCAGTTGCCAGCTCTTCGTGCCATGATGACATCTTTAATGTCATCCATTGGCACTATTAGTGACAGACTGGTAAAATTGGAAGCAGTATGTTCTCCCCAGGTTCCTGCAGATCCAGTTACTTCTAATAATGCAGGAATGGCTGTTATGCCCGTAATACTCTGGCATCAATTAAAGTCCCTGAGAGTATCAACCCCTCGCACATGGTCCCAGCTAATCTTAAAAAGGACATTCTGGAGGGCAAGGATGTTTATCTTGTCTCACTTCTTATTGCCTCCCAGGATTTTCTTGAGAACAGGAAATTTGCATATGGGGACATTTCAGTGGTTCTAAGGGCACGAGACCCCAGGGTTGAACAAAAAAGATTTATTCCTGAATTTGTATTGGGTTTCAGGATTTATAGAGGTGTATATTAATTGGTTTATCCTGAGAAAAGAGAGGAATTTGACGTTTATATGCACAAGATGGTGGATCTGGGGCACAAATACTGCTTTTTATGACTACCACTGTTCCTTCTCTGCAAAGGTGGCTGCAACTCTGACTCCGTTCAATTACAGCATAAATTGGAGTAAGCTGGACACTGGGTTATTCTGCAGACACTTTGCAGGCCTCAGACCCCCGGCTTGTGCAGTATGTGCATCTACTGCACATAGTACAAACTTCTGCCCTAATAGAGCAGAAATTGAGCAGGGCCACTCTGTCCCGAACTCAGCAAGACCTACCATAATCCTTAAGGATAAACTGGGAAGGGACATTGTGTTCCTGGGCAAATCTCAAATTTGCAATAATTTTATTGCAGGCACTTGTGGTTTTAGTCCATGTAGGTTATTACACATGTGTTCTCATTGTTTCACGGTTAATGCAAAGTCCATGTGCCTGAATAAAGTTTTCCCTAAACCTTCCCACAATTGCATCAACGTCACATTATTGGCTGCACTGTTGCAACAACATCCCTCACAGCATTTGGTTAAATTTATCATCGAAGGACTGTCTGAGGGGTTCCACACGGGTTTAGTACACTTGCCAACCGGGAAACTAGAATGCAACAATTTGCAAACCACTTTAAATGAACCAGAGTTAGTATGTACACTTATAAGGAGGTAGAGCAAGGGTTTTTCCCCACCTTTCACATCTTGGAGAACCAACCCCCATAGGGATTGTCACAGGAAAAATTTCACTTAAACCCAGACTTATCAGCACCACATTCCTCCACTGTTCAAATCTTTAATTCCCTTATACCATCCGAAAAATATTCCTTACAATATGCCACTATCAACAATGCCATTTGGGCCATTTTGGCGGCTGGTACAGGTGCATGGCTCAGTAAAATGGACATTGTAAATGCTTTTAAATTACTTCCCATCCACCCTTCACTATGGCATCTGCACGGCATTAAGTGGCAAGGGCTTTATTATTTTTTCTAACAACTCACAAAGCTGAAAAGAGACTTGCGTCCATCAAGTTCAGCCTTCCTCACATTTGTTTTTTGCTGTTGATCCAAAAGAAGGCAAAAAAGCCAGACACGTTTGCTGAAACTTTGTGTTGGTTATTGCTTAATGTGTGCAGATGTCCATCTGTTATTCACTACCTGGACGATTTCCTTACGATTGAAACAACGCACTCCCACCCTAGCAGCCTTACACACATGTTGGCTCTTTTTGAGTCCCTGACCATCCCTGTCTCCCATCACAAGACCTTAGGTCCTGACACTTGCATGCAATTTCTGGGGATCCAATTGGACTCAATCCACATGCAATCTAGCCTTCCCCATGATAAGATTGAGCGCACCCTATCAAACATTGAACAATACTTGCAACTAGGTTCTTGCAACCGCAAGGAACTTCAATCGCTGCTGGGGTCGCTCAGTTTTGCCATGAGATTCATCCCGCAGGGTAGATCCTTCATTTCCCGTTTACTCTCTTTATTCTTACGATTCACCACAGACACGTCACGTTAGACACTCACGTAACCACTGATTTACTCATGTGTCGCTTTTTCCTCACATCTTGGAATGGGCGAGCCATGTTTATTTCCCCCCTCTCTGACATTTCACCCACCCTTTGGACAGATGCTGCAGCAAACTCTGGTTTTGCAGCCACGTGGAGATATCAATGGCTTTGGAGGTCATGGCCTACAGACGTTAAGTCCCTGCCCAGCTTCTCCGCTACTTTGGCCTTGTTTGAATTGTATCCAATCGTGGCAGCTGCCATTGCCTGGGGACCAAAATGGTCCGGTCACTCAGATAACTTAGCCACTTGCCACATTGTGAATAAAGGCCGATCATCTTTGGACATCATGAGACTGTTTAGGAAACTCACATAGGTAGCGGCCACTTGCCACTTTTTTATCACATGTATTCACGTTCCAGGTTTCACAAACATCTCAGCTGACCATTTGTCTCGGTTTCGTTTTCAGGCTTTCTTCCAGACACTGCCCACCGCTTCCAGACTGGCTACCCCTGCCCCGCCATTCCAAGACATGCTCATGGATTAAATGTCTTGTTAAACCACACACCTCACATTTCTTACCTTGCACTTTGTCAACACTAGGAAATCATACGACAGGGCTTTTCACATCTTCACTAAATTTATAGCCGGGTTTCAAGTTCTTGACATGTTTGCTTTGGAATCTATTTTGGGGTTCACTTCTTTTTGCCACCTTAACTTAAAATTATAATTTAACACAATTAAACTGTACATTACGGGCATCCAACACCACATGCTTCTATGACACCCCAACAATACAGGATTCCTTTCATCATATCCGATACAGACCTTACTGAAAGTAATCAAAAAGATTAATACACACGTACCATCTAAAAGGCTACCCATTCACAACAACATTTTTCATTCGCTATCCGACTTATTAGATTCAGCTCCTTTCGAACACATGACCAATATGGTAATCAAAACTGCCATACACCTAGCATTCTATGGGTTCTTACACCCCAATGAATTTATCACTAGAAATATAACTGCCACTGAATACCTGAAAACTTCTGATATCCAGAAAATCCTAGATCATGTTCTATCCCTGCATCAGTCAAAATTACCCTGTTCCCTACTCCAAACAAATGGTGCCCTGTAAAAGTCCTGGATACTTATCTCATCACTGTCCAGAAACAACCACACCAACCCTTATTAGAACGTCACAGCTCCATCCTTACAACATCACAATTCATGCTTACTGTTAAAAAGGCTCGGCCTAAATGCACGCCTTTTCTCAGGACACTCCTTCCGCATAGGGGCAGCATCTTCAGTTTCCACCAACCACTTTCCAGCTCATATCATCAAGGCTATGGGACGCTGGAAATCCTGCGCCTATACTCTTTACATTCCAAACCCAGTTAAAGAGTTAAGGCAAGCTTTTCGTGACTTGTCCAAAAAAACAAGGTTTTGTTACATGAATAAATGTTGTATGGTATTTTTCTTTTTGCCCACTTTTATTACAGGCCTACTGCTTTGTCGGTTCCAGCACACCACAACTGACTGGTGTAAATTTAAATATGTTTAATGGTTATAATATGCTATGTTTTTCATCACGGATGGGAGGGAGAGCTGGAGAAAGAAATTATGGACACACCTTGGCACTCACCCCTCTGTCCATAATTTCCAAATTATCTTGAGGAAGACCCAAACGGGTCGAAACGTTGAAATGTTATTTTTATGACTATGTTCCAATAAACACCACTGAATTTATGGAAAGACCTGTGAGTGCATCCTTGTTCTAATTTGAGAGAAAATATTATATATATATATATATATATATATATATATATATATATATACACACACACACACACACACACACACATATACATATACAAAAAATGTTTCTTGGCATTCACCCTAGTTTTCTTTAAAAAAATTATTGCTAAGTTGTATATACTTTTTCAGTTTAAATATTTTTTTTCCGATTGCTTCAGTCTTAGTATTGTGAGCTTATGAGATCTATGATCTAAAAGATCTTTATAATTGCACTGACTATGATTATTTATACAGAATGTATTCTGACTTGATATATTTTGTTTGTGGCATATATATGACCTGCTGTATTTGTGTCTTGATGTAGTCCTCTCCATTTGCATGCCCACGGTTCTTCTCTGTGCTCTGAGCCTTTACCTTAGTAGCTTTAATTCTCCTCTGTAAAAAGGATTAGTTTATAATCACTATATAATATCTTATGTAGTGCCCGCAATCTGGATATGGTATGTGAAATGTTTTTAACACACTTTACTTTGGGTTACCCTTTCATTGGGCACAAAGTGACACCTTTCATTCTATATATCACATCATGATCTTTTTTCATTTTCGTTCACATTTTTTTCATATTTATCCTGCTTTATGCACGTTGCACTTTCAACATATTTAATGTGATAGCATATATACACATTTTATAAACCGTTATTATGCATTTCACTTGCACACCCGGTATGCATACCTGAGACCATTATACCGATCTTATAATTGTGTTTATCGGTATCTTAGCAACACCATGTCATCACACATGCATCACGTGTCTGCAGGTTTTCACTTCTGGGTTTGCATGAAGGGATTCAGGGGGTTTCTTCACGATTGGTGAGTACATTTTCTTATTCCCTATATATAACTTTTATAGCTAGGTACATGGACCTTGAGAAAGACCCGACTGGGTCGAAACGTCGGCTAAATTTTGATGCAATACCTATTGGAATTAATTACCCCTTTTTTCACTTAAGTCCTTGGAGTGCATCTCTTTTTGTGTGTGTGTAAGTAATATATATATATATATAAATAAATTATATATTTTATCTCAATATTAAAAAAACAAAAAAATGTTTCCTTGCTGTATTTATAATATTTTTTTCCTTAATATAGTGAAAGTACTGACAAGTGGGTTGTATCTTAACCCTGTGAACAAAAAACCCCCTCTAATTTAATATTAAATATAAATTGAATTACTATCTATTTACCGCTTAAATACCATCTACCCCAAGATCTACCAGTTATACACAAGTAAACACGGAAACCACGAACTGCAAAAAGTAACCAAGATAGGGAGGGAAACAGAACTGCCACTTTATTAAGGGAAAAAGGAATTGACGTTAAGTAAAAATTTCTGTTTTCAGGTCATATAGTGGCAGGACTGACAAGTGGGATATAGCAAGATCCCAATAAATAGTAACAGTGTGGAAATTTAATAGGCAACAGCTTGAAGCACCTTGCACCCAAAAGCAGTTTCAGAAGAGGAGAATATTATCAGCTTTATGAATGTATGAGCATGAGTACCTATGCTGACAAAACCCTCTTGGTGTCAGCAAGATCTAGTACAGTATAAATAGGCTTTTCTAAATTGAAATGAACACCAAAATCAAAGTTCAGTTCTGTGCATGCACACTAGCGCGATCGGAACTTCAGTGGAACACAAAAATCACTGCCCATGCTTGCTCCATAACTCTGAGTGCAGAAGTCGGGCCTCTCGGGGAGCTTTCGGACCATTGCCCCAAGGCATCATCCTGTGTGTCACAGACTTGAAAGAGGTACCTGTCAATCCCGATAATGGGACAAGATGAACTGGTAAATTTTGGGGGAGATGGTACTTAAGCGGTAAGCAGGCAGTAATTAAATTTATGTGACGAATGCCCTTTGGTCTGGTCGTTCGTCACAAGCTCCTGGAGGAGCCTGCTAGCCAGCCTCCTGCCCAAGAACTATGGGCCATGGAACCAGCTTATAAAAAGACTTGGTTCGTGGGATTTATTTGTTCTGTTCAGGAACCGAATCAACTCATGAACTGTGGACCACCTCTGTGCTTGTTAACCTATCATCGTGGATTCTAATTGTGCTGCTGGGTGGCCGCCGTTCGTATGCACGAACACGTATGCACGAACACGTGTTGGCGGCCATCTTAGCAAAATCACCAAACACCCTGGAACAGTTTTAAGCATAGGACTGTGTGCGGCCTGTCAGAACTTTATCCCGGTAGCATTTCGGCAGTGTTCGTGGGATCTGAGCGCTTTTCAGTTATGTTGGGAGCTCAGATCCAGGCTATCCAGGGATATATAGACTGTGTGGGCCCCTATGTGGGAAATATGTATTTTGAGGTGTTTTTCATGTTTTATGCCCGAGTCATGGTGACACTGCACTTTGGGGACATTTTGTGGGTGTGTTTATGGGAGTCCTAAGTAATGAGTAGCGGTGCAAGTCATCAAACTAACTTTTGACAGGTGCCTTGCCCCTTTTATGAAACCACGCCCCTTGCGCAATGACAGGCGTCCCGACCCTTTTTGATGAAACCACGCCCTGTTGCGCAATATGTCTCTGCCACCCTGTGCAGTGATGGTTGCCCAGCCCCTTTCATGAAACCACGCCCCTTGCACAATATGACCCCACCCATTGCGCGTTGATCAGTGTCCATCCCTTTTTTATTAAACCACACCCAATGCACATTATGGCCCGCCCTTGTCGATTTATTGAAACCACGCCAACGGCGTGTTATAAACACAACCCTTTACAATGTTCATAGAGTGTGCCACCATGTGGTTATATGAGGTACTACATCCAATGGTTGGATGTTTAAATTTATTTTTAATTTCATTTAGCGGAGGGATATTACTGAATAAAGAGAACAAGTCTGGACATGTTTTTGGAAGATGTGTCTGGGGCCAGTTTTGAAAGTAGAGAACAAACCCAGAGGACAGGTTAATATACATCTGAGAAATAAATAAATGCCAAAGTAACTCGTATAACGATATTGATTAGCCAAAAACTTAAATTTCATTTAGAGGAGGGATATCACTGAATAAAGGGGGACACATCTGGACATGTTTTTTGGAAGATATGTCTGGGGCCTGATTTTAAAGTAGAAAACAAACTTAGAGGGCAAGCTTATATAAATCTGTGAAATAAATAAATGCCAAAGTAACTCATGTAACAATATTACTAGACAAGTATGGCAATGCAATTAGATCTAAAAACCTTAAGTGTTCAGATGAGCAATGACAGACAGATGGCATTTACAACCAAGACAGGGTTCCCAGGATGACAGCCATAACAAAATCAACAACTGAAATGTTTTCCTTAAATACATGGTACAGTATGATTGTTGACAGACAGCCGGCATTTACAACCAAGGGTGGGATCTCAGGGTGACAGCTGTAACAAGATAACCAGCTGAATAGTATTCTTTAATCATGATGCCCAACAGCAATAATAAATCAGTATTAAAATCAATATATTACACACCAAGAGAAGCAGGTAGCTATGGTGGTATTGATAAATTATATAACTCAATTAAAAAAAAACCTAACATAAAAAGAACTGTTGTTAAAGAATGGCTGGCAGATCAGGACACTTACACAGGCCAGCAAGGCGACAATTTCAGCGCAATAAGATTTGCGTCTCTAATATTGACGAACAATGGCAAGCTGATCTTGTGTCAATGATTGACTTTGCTAAGCAAAATGATGGTATAAAATATATACTGACCGTCATAGATGTGCTGTCAAAATATGCATGGGCTGTGGCTTTGAAGAATAAATCAGGAAAAACCGTTGCTGCTGCTTTTCAGAATATATTTGCAACGGGTTGTCTACCTCAAAAGTTGCAAACTGACAAAGGCAAAGAATTCCTTAACGAGTGTAAAAACAGTCTTTAAAAAATATGAGATTATACACTTTATAACAAATAATACGGTGAAGGCCGCTATTGTGGAGCGTTTTAACAGAACATTAAAAACTAAAATGTGGCGCTATTTTACAGCGCGCAATACGTTCGGCTATGTAGATATTCTGGCTGATCTGATATATATAGCTACAACCACACAGTACACAGAACAATCCGGTGCGCTCCTGCAGCAGTGACGCATGAAAACATTTACGGGGAGTATTTCAATCGTAAAAGGAATGAGCAGACCTTCACTGATGAAATATTTGTAGTGGACTCAAATACCAGAGGTATAAAACCCCTCTTTATGTTAAAAGATTGTAACGGCGAACTAATTGAAGGATCATTCTACGCTGAATACAGAAAATACCTCCAAATTTCAACCGCGTTTACAGAATTGAAAAAGTTTTAAGACAGAAGATCGACAAAGGTAAAACATTGTACTACGTTAAATGGTTAGGTTACCCAGCAGCATTCAATAGTTGTGTTGTTTAAAGGGTGGTTAACTGCTTTTTGTCAATCCAACTATGGAGGACACAGCATTTTATGTAACGCTGCCTAGTAACGCTTTACACGGAATATACTCTCAAAATGAAATATCCAATCCGATTATCTTAACAGGCGAATGGGAAGTGGGTTTAACAGAAATACAATATCCACACACATGGAATACTTTTGAAGCCTCTGATGGTTTAATATATGTGGGGTTACCAGGCGGACCTACGAAATGGCTTAGTGTAAAATCTGGATATTATAATGCTATTGAAGATCTGGTGTCGGGTATTAATGAAAGGATTGAAAGTTACAAATTTCCGCCGATGGATATAAAGCTACAATATGATTCACTAGAGAGAAAGGTATCTATCAACGGTACGCATACGTTCATTGCCAGCGACAGATTGACGCACATTCTTGGTATTGATTATATTCACGAGAGGCCAAACGTCACAGGGAGAATGTGTGCGGATATAAAAAAAAGACAGCTTTTACACCTTATTCGTTTATACAGACATAATAGAACATCAGCGTGCAGGCGACAGTTTTGTACCGCTGTTACGTACAGTAGAAATTACCGGCAGTAACAAGGAAATTATTACCCAGCGGGACATCAAACCTGACTACATACCAGTCAGTAAATACCATTTTGACAACATCACAATAGAGATAAAGAACGATCAGAACAGAAACGTTTCATTCAAATACGGGAAGGCTATCGTTAAGCTACACTTTCGACCCCGGCGTGGAAGTTTTTATTAATTAAAAAATGGTTGTGGTTAAAACCTATGCAGAACCACACATTTACAGCGCTTATTCTAAGTCACAGGCCGGTCAGGGGCTGTCGGGATTTCATGGTAGTACGTATATGTACGGTCGCGGAGAACCGTGCCTTTGTTCAGGCGCGGTTTAGAATTGGTGAAACCACATGTGAAAACAGCGTCTAGGAACATTGCAAAGGACGTTGTCGGTAGGAGTTTCAACGGCAGCGATGAATAAAATAGTGGGTGAACCCCAGGACGGCACAGGTTTAGTATACATAGGTACAAACACCCCTAAAAGGAAACGGAAACGACCGGGAGTATTTCCTGCATGTATGCCGTACACATACAACAAAAAGGCTTGTACTCCTGCTAGAAAGAAGAGAAGAGTATCACAAAGGAACGCAAACATATTTTGAACAGCTGTCATGTCGTTTATCCATTCAGCATCCGGAGAATGCGCCAAATCAGAACTGGATCTTTTTAAAATAAAACCTACTCAGACCAGCATAGAAAAAAAGTCTGTATGTGGAAGTACAATCGTTGGCAGCCATTTCGGAAACTTCACCGCTCGAGTTCTACATAGCAAGCAGCGGTGAACATTATTTTGATTTGAATAACACACTGTTGTACATTACGTGTAAAATTGTTAAAAACGACAATACGCCTATTGCAGAAGGAGCACGAGTGAGTCTAATCAATTACCCAATAGCGACACTATTTAATCACCTAGATGTTACACTCGGGGACAGGCTGATATCACAATCCAATAATCTCTATGCTTACCGAGCCTACATTGAAACACTTCTCAATTACAGAGCTGATGCTTTATCATCAACTCAGTTTACTGCCGGATTATTTTACAAGGATACTGCGGGAAAACATCAAGACCGAGTTTTGGACGGTGACAACAAAGGCGTTACAAAGCGTGCACATATGACAGCGCGCAGTAAGACTGTTGAAATACTTGGTCATCTACATAGCCATCTATTTTTTAAGGAGGAACGGATTCTGAACGGTCTGGATTTAAAAATAAAACTTACCAGAAATAAAGACACATTTTGTTTAATGTCCGCAGACCCCGAGCCATTTAAACTTCAAATTCTAAATGTGTCTCTGTTTGTTAAAAGAGTCCAGATATCACCGGCCGTGCGAATAGGTCACGCGCAAGGACTTCTAACCGGCAACGCTAAATATGCCATAGAGCGCGCTAGTATGAAAGTATTCAGCGTGCCCACAGGTAGTCCTGTTTGCAATCAGGAAAATATATTCTTGGGGCAGATCCCTAAGCTGGTCATTTTAGCGTTTGTCGACAATGAAGCCTTTTCAGGCGCTTACGACAGAAATCCCTTGCGTTTCAAACACCACAATGTGAATTTTGCGGCTCTCTATCTAGATGGTGAACAAATACCTGCAAAGGCGTTTCAATCTGATTTTGAACATTCTAACGCAGTGTGTGAATATGTCATTTTTATTATTGGCACAGAAGAATTGCGGTGATTCTGGAATTATAATTAACAGAGTAGAATTTGTGGATGGATATACATTATTAGCCTTTGATCTATCGCCTGATCAGGAATGCAGTAGTCATTTTTCACTCATATGTAGCGGTAACCTAAGGGCTGAAATACGCTTTTCGAGGGCCCTGGAACGCACTGTAAATTTGATCGTCTATGGACTGTTTGAAAACATTATTGAAATTAATCGAAGAAGGGAGGTTCTTTATGATTTTCTCTAAAACCCAACCATGAACACCTTAGAAATAACGCATATTTTACGTACCGACCCATATTCCAGAGGTATATTTGTTGGCGTGTTTCCGTGTGATTTACTACCCACCTCTAAACTGGACAGCGTACCAGCGGCATTCATTATCAATACAGATCCACATACATTATCCGGGGAGCACTGGTTGGCTGTTTATATTGATAAGAGACAGGGATATTTTTTTGATTCGTATGGACTAGCAACGACAAGTGAAATATTCCCTAAAGAAATACTGTTTTTTTTAAAAAAAATAAATGCTAAACAGATATACTTTCAAAATGTTCAGTTGCAAAGCACTCTGTCTACCGTATGTGGGGAATTCTGTATTTTTTTTATTCATCATATGTGCAAAGGGGTTGCTTTTAAAGAGCTTTTAAGCCATTTCACAAGCGAATTTAAACAAAATGACCGTTTAGTGTCCCGTTTTGTGTGGCAATATATGCGTGGGTTAAAAAATAGACATGTTCATAGCGTGCATGTGCAGAGATGTACTGCGCGAATGCCGGAGAACGTAGGGACTGCAATCCACATAAATTAAAACAGGGCAAGTATACGTATGAGTTCTTTGTTTATTTGTATTCTACATAAATATAGTATGTTTATTTGTATATTAATTTACTACATAAATATACCTGTATGTACATCGGTGTATTAATTTACTCATTTATTTTTGAATACAGTATCAAAGTTGTCTATAACCTGGAGCCGCTCTACAAGAGATATTCCAGCCACACGTGACGACGAACAACCGTCAACATCTACCTCAGGGGCTTTAAGGCAGCGTCCATCTAGTGCGACATGTGTAGCAAAGGAGCCTCTACAAATACAGTCATTAACCACAACAAAACACACGTCACAGGGTAAGCCAGCAGTCACATTAACAGTTAATGTATCAGGGTGTCGACATTTCACTGTAGCATCAAATGTACCTGTGAAACAATCCATTACCCCTGTAAATGTTCCTATACAACCAATCCCTAAGAAAAGTAGAACTGTTTTACAGGATATAACACAAGCCACCTGCAACGATAATTATATATATATATATAGGGACTACATCATCGACATCCAGAAATAACCCTGTGCCAACATCACCGCCACCTAAGAAAAGTAGATCTGTATTACAGACCATGACACATGCTGACAACAAAAGCACACACACAGAGACCACATCAACGCTTGATGATAAAAAAATGTTTATTGTGGCTCTTGCGTGTAGCTCCTTTATATATATATATATTATCGTTGCAGGTGGCCTGTGTTATATCCTGTAAAACAGTCCCTGGGAGTGGATAGAGCTATTTGGCTACAGGACGGAGATGTTTCAGGACCCCAGTCAAGCCACGGCGACTGGGGGCAGAAGCTATGAGGTTTTTTCCCCTGTTCCATCTAGGAAACGGTCCTTTGGTGGCGGTATCCAGCCGCGGTACAGAGAGCTCCATTACAATTAATATTTAGTATTAAATTACAGAGCTTCTTGTTGATAAGATGAAGATACAACCTACTTGTCAGTACTGCCACTATAGGACAGGAAAAAAATACTTGAACAAAGTATTTATTATAAATAAAATGCAATTATAAAAGCAATTCAATACGTTAAACCCCCCCCCCACAAAAAAAACCAAACACTGATGCGTTTCACCCAAGGCATTCTCAAACTATCCCAGCGCGCACAGTGCTCTCCGCGACCAGTGCACCCCCGCCCTCCATTCTCTATGTATTCTGAAAAAATTCAGGCTGCATCATTCCTCCTTTTCTACCATGCTAACTCATATTATAAAGCCTAACCTCATCACCAAGATTGTAGATTAGACTCTCATGCTTCTGAGCTTTTTTCGCATTAGCCATCTCCTGCTTTTCCTGCGACTTGGCAATGTTTTCCAATGTTGCTTCTAATATCGCCTCCATTGAGGATTCCCTTTCCTCCAAGAACTTAGTATAACTTTGCTCCTCGGGTAGAGAGATAGCTGAAAGCTGGAAAAAAAATAATTAACATGACTGAAATGAAAGTAACTTTTGTAGTACAGTCACACAGTTCTCAAGGGAAAATAAATAGAACTGAATCAAGATTCAAACACTTATGAATAAAGAAAAAAATATGTTTAGTTACATGTGCACACAATCTTTAAATACTATGGAAACTTGATCAGATAAAAGCTATCAAATGTTATGTGCCACCTGTGTTGAATAAAGCAAGTAGACAGGACCAGGTAAGATCTGCATATACTAAATAATTCTTACATATATTATAGAAAAAACGATTTTTCCATAGCTGTGACAGAAAACACAAAAACTCACTGGCATGTCAACAGGAACTTCCGCGGGGAAAACGGCCTCCCTCCCGTACATCAAAAGAAATGGTGAATATTTGGTAGTGGTTTGGACCTTTGATCTTATAGAAAATAATGTAGCGTCCAAACACACGTCCCAGTTATTTTGTTTCTCTTTCACCAATTTAGTGAGAACTCTTGAATGAATAAAAGAAAAAGCAAGATAAACACATTTAGAACACTCTGAAATCGTTCAGACTTTATAGCTCTACCCATACACAGAGATGTAAGAAGAACATTGCTTAAAGTGAAACCTGTACTGCAACATTCTAATAAAAACCCAACTTGAATTAAACTTGCCTCTTGATGTTGTTATTGGTTTTGTCATCCAGGCCGTTTGTCTGTGGATGATATGCAGCTGTCTCGCTTCTTTCAATTCCCAGAATACTGCACATCTGGTCGTTGAGCTTTGAATAGAAAAAAATAAATAAAAGAAGGAAACAAGAATAGAAAATTCAAATAAACTAGCAGATTACTAAATCATTTTTACAATAATGGTAAATGGGAAGTTCACATACTTGATCGACAAACTCTTTGCCCTGGTCTGAAAGTATTCGTTTGGGACAGCCATATCGACAGATCATCGAGCAAATATGCCGTCCCGCTTCGGCAACAGATTTGGTTTTCAGAGGAAAAGCCTCCACCCACTTCGAGAAGTAATCTGTGGCTGTCAAGATGTATTGAAAACCATCCACTGTCTCTGGGAAAGGGCCTATAATGTCAATCGCAACAAGCTCCCAGGCAGCAGACACCTAATGTAAATCAAATATATTTATTTTAATAGATGAATGTAATATTTCTTATGTAATACTATAGAAAATATTTACCTTAACAAACTGTAACGACGGGGGAGCTGACAAAGGCTTTCCAACCTTCTGGCATTTCACGCATTTCTTGATCTGTAGGAAATCAGTTGTTTTTAACCTTTGTATCGCTTACATAAATATTGCAAAACACAAAAATAATTAGTGGGTACCCAGTTCTCAATATCGATGGTCATTCCATGCCAGAAGAATCTCGAGGAAATTGCAGACCGCGTC